CGTATACAACGCTTGTAAAATACATTGTTTATTTACATGAAATTTGAACACGCGCTGCGCGACGACCACCGCCCTTTAATATTATTGTGGTGATATTGCAACGTATACAATTTAAATTGGACCTGCGTTGCAGTACTATGTTTTCGTGTTTTTAATAAAATAATTCTTAGTTACTGATCCAAGTTGATTGCGAAAAAAAAACCTATTCCTGTTGCATGACTGTTTTTTGGGTCTGAAAATGACAATATCAAAAAACGGTATTTGGGAGGGGCGAAAGGGAAATCCTTTGTAAAACTTATATCATTTCCTGATGGCGTTCGTACATTAAATAACGTTTGATATGTTCGTTTATGGGACTTATTTGTTGTTTTTAATTTAGAAGTAATATTTATCTTCAAACTCGACAAGTTACTTGTCTCATTCTGCGCTTGTTCGTACGCGTGAAACTGTTTTACAATTATTTTTATATCACATTAATTTTAGCCCGGCCCCTCTTATGTATATCAAAGATTTACATGATAATAGTATGTAACTCAGATATGTATAATGCGCGAAATATATGGGGGGGGCAAGGGTTATTTTCGTTCAACGTAATTGCAATATTTTTTTGTTCGTACTGCGTAAATTGAAAAAAAAATCCGCACTTCTGTAATCACAGGCTAGCCGTACAACGTAATCAATCAAATATTTTTTTCGTACACTGTAAAAATGTGTCATTTTTCTCGGTACGTACAAGAATTTACATCCAAATAAAAAAGTCGTAAAGAATAATCCAGGGAAATTACATTTTCGAAACTGTAAAACGACTAGATGACACAATTCACTGCAAAACTCAATTTTCACTGTAAACTGTAAAAACGTCTTTTTTTTCTTTGTAAATGGTAAAAAGCCCTTTTTATTTCCCGTAAAACTGCACCAGCTACCCCCCCATAAATGGGTCTCATATAAACAAAGATGGTGACTTTGTTGCGCAGATCAAGGAGTACTTACTGGGACGTTTAGCAAGCTTTAATTATATTAGGTATTTTAGGTGTCACCAGCGGTTATAAGTGCAAGTCGCATCCCAGGTCGCATCTCATACTTGTGATTTCCATTAGAAGAGCGCATTGGATTGTGGGAAAATCAATGTTCATCAATACAAATGTCGCACATGCGCAGCGCGACGACTGCCGCCCTTTAATATCCCAATCACACCTCTTATAATATACCGAATTTATTACACAACTGAACCATATGTGGGAACCGTATAATAGATATAACAATCAGTTATACATCCTAGAGTATACATAGGATTGGACGTTTATGTGGTGCGTATTTTGACAGTTTAACATTATTGTTTTTACAAGGCCCTTATAAGCCCGCATACATTGCACTATGGACTTCCAACCTACCCATCCCCAATTTCTTTACGGAACTGTGTACTAGTAATCAAAAAAAATATTCCACTCGTGTCTTATGTAATTAAAAACTGTGTTCCTATGGCGAGACTCTTTAGGTAGCGCTATGCAGTTTTTTTTTTCTTTTCAGAAACACTCTGGGTACTTTCTGCGTACTAGTAACCTTGTACTAGTACATGTATATGGTAATCACGCACTGCATCGTGGGTAAAACGTGAACGAGCTATAATGGCGGACGAAGTTGTTTGTCGTCTGCATGTAAACTGATCATCCACGTTCGTCCGAGATACGAGTACATTGTTCAGAGGTAAAATACTTGGATGTCAAATGTTGCCATATATGTTAATGGAACTACAGTTAAACAATTGAATAATAACGGATTGACTGCATATTGTATGCCTTGAGCAACTTTTGAATCTGAAGTCCGTTTCTAAAAATGCCTCAAACTGAAACAGTGATAAAACGACAGCTTAATATTCTGTGGCATCTATGAAGTAGTCTTAACGAATGTGTATCCTTGGTGGTAGATAGTGCGTGTACATGATAATGATAATTCATTGAATTTACTTGAATTTGCAGTGACCGCGTATTATGGTTTTCACATCCATGTCCATGCACTTAGACATGGCCACAGTCGACATGGCCACAGTCACTTGGGACGAATGTCAAATAAATTGATCAAAACTGTTTATAAGTCTTTTAGGGACAAAGAGCGATGAACAAATCATGAAAAAAATGAATAATAATTAGTACTGATCGATATATTTGAGTTTGCAGCCCGCAAGTGACTATGGACGTGGCCGGCGTGCTTTGGCAGACGTACACCAATGTTGTTAGTCGAGTTTTCACCTCTAGCAATAATATAACAATTATAAATTCCCCACACTCCAAATGTTAGTAATTTTTATGAATTTGGGCTTGTTAACGACCTACCAGTAGATAATTTAATCCACAACAATATAAAGAACATGTTAACATACTGATGTCATGCAGTTCTCAGTTTAATTAAGGAGATTTTTGTACACTAGATTACATTTTATTTTCCAGATTCACAATGACAACAGAATTAAACAAAGCAAGTATTCTGGACAGTGACAAACCTAACTTGTGTTCAATAATGCCAGAAAGTAGCTCTCCTAGTAATAAAAATAATGACAAAAATATGAACCCTTCGGAACACTTGAATGATGATGAGAATATTGACAAAATGGAAAGAGATGTTACTTGTGAGCTCATGAATGATAACACAGATGGCAATAAACCAGATTGTGACAGTATTTCTAAATCCAGTGATGAAGGCAGTATCAACATGGCTCTTGTCTTGGAAGATTCTTTTTCTGATAATGATGATAAGTCAGAGATATCTGATACAGTTGCTGATGAGAAACAAGGTGAAGCAGACAGGGAAAATTGTTCATCAGAAGTAAATAAGACTCCAGAGAATCCTACCATCCATGATAAATGTGACAGTATCGCCAGGCAAATTGATAACATGAGATTTCGTGATAATTTGTTTGAGATCATTGAAGAGCTGAGAATAAGAAGGGTATGTGCATGAATGTAGTGATTTGCAGGGCTTGAATGTCCGAGTTTACCAAAACTTATAAAATGGCCTTAGCACATAGGAATTACAGAGTATATCAAAGTACACCAAGGCAGACTTTTTGGGCCTTCGATGTCTCTGAATTTCACGCCTTAAGTTTGCAGTTAACATATGGTTACACATATCCAAACTATGGATATGTTTGGATCAGGATATAATACTCAACTGGAGTCATGATATCATGATGACGCTACAAAGATTACTTAATACATGGAAAGAATGAGGCCCAGTGATGTAAAAAAACAGCCAGAAGCCAATCAAAACAACCTTTTTAGCATTAAAAAATCAAGTTTCCATTTTTTCCTCCTACCGTAAAATCTGTATTAAAAGTCGCATTTCTAATAGAAGTCGCACCCATTCTTTTTGAACAACTGAGAACCCCAAATCCACCATTTCTCATATGTTTAGATGCTCTAATAGAAGCCACATCCCTTCTGTTATAATATTGTTTCATTTTAATATAAACCGCGGCTTCTAATACAGATTTTGCAGTACTTGAAAATAAAGCTACATCACTTGGCCATCTTTTTAAAAATTCCATTTCCAATTTTTGTACCACTAGACAGAACACTGATTATTTGCGGAACAAATGTTTGATTTTATGCCAAATTTTAGTTCATTAAGATTGCTATTGTGATTCAAATATAGATGAGGGTTAAGTGATGCACAGAATTAATATTCCATCATGTGGTCGTGCTTTGTTTTGCAGAGTATGGATGCTGAGAGTGAAGATAAAATAAAACAGCTTGTGACAGAAAAGCATGAACTTGAAAGAAAGTTGGTGAGTTATAATTGTACTGAAAATAACATGACTGAAGATGTTATTTTATTTATTTGTTGCTATATATATATATGTACATACCAGTAAATACAATTATTACAAAAACCTAATAAAAATGTATAGTCAAATGCTTGCCATTGTTACCAAGAAAGTTAGTGTACAGGTAAAACCTAGTTAGAGTAAATTACCATGCTAGATTTGACTGACTGATGTGGAATTTTGTATAGATGATATTTATCCACTTTTAAGGCCCTGTGATTAGTCAGTATTTTACAAACTAGACAAGATCAGTTGAGCCACTACTTGAGTTCATGTCACTTTTCCTACAGGAATCAGAAAACCTCAGAAATAAAAATATTATCGACAATCATGATCAAGAGATATCCGATGTTAAAAAACAGTATCAAGATAAAATTCACCAGTTAGAAGAAAAAACGGTAAGAATTTGACAACAAAGTTCTGCTCAAATACTTCTGGAACCAGAGCATTATCCTTCACAAATTTACATGCATTATGTCCAGCACAGCACTGTTCATTATTGTAAATTATTATCAATATTTCAAAATTAATAAAGTTTGACTGGTAATTGATATCTTAAGATATAATATACAAATATGAATATATAGTATACAAATTATGAAATACATTGTATTTTATAAGGGCTAAAATTATCATATTTGCTTTGTATTGAAGTGCATCTCCATTTGTCAAAAGTGCATGCTAATAGAGCATATATTTTTTTTTACATCAGACAAAGCACACTCTGACTGTAGAAAGGTCCAATAAGCAGATGACAGCTTTGAAAAATGACATCAGAACTTTAGAAGTAAGTTTAAAGAATGAATCATAATCTCATACCATATGGTCTCTCCACATAAGGAAGCTTGTCTGTGACATTAAAACAGATGTGTTTTCTTTTTGTCAATATATATATAGAAAATGTATCAACATTTTTAATAATGGATGCATGACGACAGATGAATACAATATCAGAGATGCCTGATGACCTGACATGTGGCACAATGCTTCGTGTGTACAATGCATGTTTTTTTCCACTGTGATTTGAAAAATAATAAAACATTATTTGGAATAAATGGAAATAAACAAACATTTACCTATCTCTAAGGTTTTTATTTCACAGTAAAAAGAACATTAAAAAAAATTCGACAATATAACAACGTTGCTTGAATGTGGATGTTAGCACAGGGCTGTATAGAATAGATACAAGACCCCCCCCCCCCCACTCTGTGGTTCAATTTGTAACCCATAATGCTTTGCGAAATCCAATATGGCGAATTTATGCCCCATAAAGAGACCAAAGGACTCAAGAGGGGGAGAAAGAGAGTGTAAATGTTTTGTATTTGTGTTTTTCATTTGCATTTGATTCAGGGAAGGGATAAACCAGTGATCTAAAATCCTTTTTATCTCCATTTTTGTTATACAGCTTTCAAGGTATTCACTTGAAAAAAAGATTCAAGAACAAGAACAAGTAATTAAAGTGCAAAGTACAGCCAAAGATGCCCATGTAACTCAAGTAGCAAGCTTTGAACAGAGGGTGAAAGATATATCAAACCAAGTCAATGAAGTTACTCAACAAATTCAAAATCTTAAAGAAAATGGTAATTCATCAGTGCATTACATTTGAATTCATTACACTTGAATGTTCCTGTTATGTATGTAATTATTATGTTTATTAAGTCAATTAATGTTTAAGATTTTCAGGTTTCAAGTTCTCTTGTTGCCACATTACTAAATGCACACCAGCGTCCACAACTGAGGGGGGGGGGGTTGATTTCTTAGACCAGCGCTGTCTTGAATTGGCCAATGGGCATCCTAGAATTTCTGAGGCTATAAGCAATAACCTGGATTTTGCATCGTATATGAAATCCAAGTACTGTCAACAGGGGTCTCGTTAAGAGCCGACTGCCGGCCATATGGCCTGCTATAAGCCCAAATTAGCCATCTACTTTTTGGTCTCCCTCCTGACATGCATGCATTTGTGAAACCCCTGTGTCAATCCAGAATATTCAATTATAATCATAAACAATTTGTGGTGGCCTTGGTAAAAATTAGTTAAATTAAAAATTAATAGTGTTATGGACACATTTGACCATAATTTGACTGTCATTGTCTGTCACTTGTTGGCCAATCAAATCCGCAAAATAGTTGAGTGCAAACATTTGTTCTCTCTATCGAAAATGACTTATATTTGGAAATGCATGCATAACATTTGATTGATTGCATTTACAGGTCATGTCGTGTCAGTGGACATATTTTTGAGATATAGGAGGGTGTGGTTTGCTCATATTTTTTGAGTGCAATAACTTTTTGTTTGGAAAATTTGATAACAGCTAGTGATTAGTTGTGTGACAGCCCAACAGTTCATCAGGCCATCATAGCAATTGCACATCGGGGCTCAACAACTGAAAAACAAAAAAATTAGTGCAGGTTTCTGCAGTATTATAAATGACCATACATCTTGCTGTTATGGACACACTTGAATGTCTTTTTCTTATTTAGAAAATGTTTGTTATATTTATGTCACATTTGAACAAGTCTCTTTGCTTACTTTGGATGCAACAACAAAGTATTATGTGACTGATATAGAATCATTTTACTTAACACAAACAATCATGCATGCAATAGTTTTAGCTGTCACTTTGTGCTGTTATATCTTCCTACAATATAAGTTGAAATATATGTAAAATAATCACAAGAATACTGCAAAGTATGTACGCAGGCATCACAAGACTTATCGACTTGCACTACACATTAGTTGTCACGATCAGTGTACAGCCTTTGTGCATTGTGATATCTTTTCAGTAATTAACATATTTAATTTTGCATACTTTCTGTTTGCAGTGCAGACATCTTGTGAACTAAACAAACAATTATCTTACACTAACCACCACCAACAATGTCAGTTGGAGACTTGTAAAAATGACTTGGAAAGAAAAGTCAAAGAATTGAAAAAATTAAGAATTGAACTTGATAAAAAACCAAATGACTTGCATAGGAAATATCATGAGAAGAAACAGGAAGTTGATACACTTCAACAACAATTACAGAAGGTTAGTTTTTTGATTTTCATTAAATTGAAGTGAATTGCATGTAGCAAGGGTATTTAGTAGTGGATGAACGCTCTTGGGGGAAATTAGTGTATATTGGGCGGGAGATAATAACCAAGCTTAAGCATAGCAAATATTAATAATAATAACTTTATTGCATCCTTAAAAATACAATGTTTCTATTAGTTAATAGCAATAAAAATTAGTTGGGATAACTACAACTATAAAAGGAAAGAAAGTTGTTAATGGAATAAAGCAAGTGTTACATATCAAAGGGCATTTTCATTTCTTGATTGAAATGTGTTATGAATATAGCTGCCAATCTTTTTTGTTATTTCATCATCTTTTGAAGTCATCAAGAAATTAAATTTCTGAAAATCATCCCGTGTTTCTTGTGGAAATATAATGTCTTGTACGATTTGTTGGTGTATTAATTTATATTGAGAGCATATCAAAGTGCAATTCATCTTCTATTTCATTCTGATATGCAGGATAGGATATGCAGGTTTCCCTGTTTCAATCAGTTTATCATACACCCACAATCACCATGAACAGTTTTAACTGTTGTGCGATCTTGATTCAGTTAGATAGTTAAGTCAGTTTATTCCCGGGGTTTATTCAGTTTCAGAGCAGGATCATAGGTCTTCTAGTGCATGCAGATATAAGCCAATCAGATGGCTAGATTCAGACTATATTATAATTATGCATATTGTACTATCACTGTCTATAGCATGAGGTTGGAAACTGGTGAAAAAGTATCAAATGTGCCAGCCTCCAGAATTTGTTAACATAATGTATTTTTCATATATGTGCAAGGTTATAATGTTTTGCTATGTTTTTACCAGGAAAAAGAGACAGTGGTTCATCTGCAGTCTCAGCTTACATCCATTCAAGATGAAAACATGGTAAGTATAGTATTTAAAATGGAGGGTATTGTTGAAACGTCTTTGAAAATCCAACTATATTGTGGTATTACATCACCAGGTACTTCATATCTAGAAACCACCTGGACACCAATAAAACATTTTCTGTGTGTTATTTCAATGTACATGCAGTTAGTCACCTACCATTTTAAACAGGTACTGAACAATTAGATGGGTACCCCCCCCCCCAATACAATAAATAACCACCAATAAATAAACACAGCCATCACATAATAGCCACTCCATGTTCATGTTGTCAACATGCTGACAATGTGCTGAACTATTCCTGCCTATTATTTCCGATCACTTGAAAAAAAAACACCTTTAATCCTGCTGACACAATACTGTAAAACACTTTATTTTAGCTGGAATTAATTTTTGCTGAAAAGACTTTTTGGGTGTTTTGTATGGAATTTATTTTCACTGATTTTTGATGAGTTGAATGTAAAATATAGGAAAAAAGGGTATATTCACTGGATTTTGAATCATTCCTTCAGCGAAAAATTAATTCTAGGTGAAAATAAAGTATTTCACAGTACCGGTAGTAACATTTTCAAAATTACACTTTAATTGGCTTCACGTCGAAAACGCTATACGCAAGCTGGAGTCAGAATTCAAAATTCAGATGAAGTATGAGCAGAGACATTGTATTGAGTAGCTTGTGTGGGAAGGCACTTTGGTTAATTTACCAACTGTGTTTAGAAGTACAAATGTATATCATTTACACAAAGGCGCCAAAAGTTGCAGATGTGCAATAATTATCCAGGGTTCTCCCCAGGGCAATGTAGAGTTAAATTTTGGACAAACAATAGAACCAATTTAGCATAACAACTAAGTCTGCAATTGAGGATGTCCATCTTTCATTTTGTCGGTTCATTCTTGGTCTCTCAAAATTCACACCAAAAATGGCTGTTTATGGTGAGCTAGGAAGGTACCCTATTGACTGTTTTATCAAGAAACAACAACTTAAATATTTCAATCGGGTAACAAACTCTGATAACACATTACTAAGAGAAGCCTACTTAGTAAACAAGAATGTAAAAAGTAAATGGTTTACAAGTGTAGAAACCCTCATGCAAGATTTAGATGTTGTCACCATTGTAAACTCAAGTGAAAAAATAATTAAGAAAAATTTAGACTTTATTCATAAAAAAATAAACAAATCATTTGAGAACCAATGGATCTTAGACATGCATAATGATAATAGAAAACTAACCTTGGCTAAAAACAAACTAAGAACATACAGACTTTTCAAACAAGATTTAAAAATTGAAAATTACCTAATTAATATGCAGAACCATGGTCTTAGAAGGTTAATTGCAAAATTCAGGACAAGCAACCATGACCTTAAAATTGAGAAAGGCAGACATAATAATGTGCGGCTGGATAAAAGAACATGTGATATGTGCAGCCAAAATATAGTTGAGGATGAGCAACA